TCCTACCATTTGCAACAACATGCATGGAGCTAGAGGGTATTATGCTCAGTGAAATAAGCCAGGCAGACAAAGACAAGTATCAAATGATTTCACTTATCTGTGGAAATATAAGAACAAAGAAAAAACTGAAGGAACAAAACAGCAACAGACTCACAGAACCCAAGAATGGAGTAACAGTTACCAAGGGGAAAGAGACTGGGGAAGGTGGGTGGGAAGGGAGGGATAAGGGGGAAAATGGGGCATTACAATTAGCACACATAAAGTGGGGGAGGGACACAGGAAAGGCAGGATATACAGAGAAGACAAGTAATGATTCTATAGCATCTTACTACGCTGATGGACAGTGACTATAATGGGTATGTGGGGGGAACTTGATAATTGGGGGAGTCTAGTAACCATGATGTTGTTCAAGTAATTGTACATTAATGATGTCAAAATAAAAAAATTAAAAAATTAAAAAAATATTTAAAACAAAATATGTGGTAAACTTTTTATCATTTCACATTTAAAATAATCTGATGTAAACTAATGCCTCAAAACTTTACGTCAATGAATACCCTAAAAGCACTGTTATCTTTTACGTCTCATGTCTCTCAAGATGAAGAACATGTCGTCCATGTATGTAGATTTCCAGTAGTTGTGATAGGTTTCATTGGGTCACTCAATATTTTTGTTTCCTTTGTGGCATATCATACATACAAGAAAGTTACCTGAGTTGCTGGATTTGATTCAGTCACAGAATAAATAATTACAGAGAAAAGCTAACTGGTTCATATGAAAGAAGATGTCTAAAACTATTATTCAAAGGGAGAATATCAATTTTAAGCCCCTAACACACAAAAAAGGCAAAAAAAAATCTTATTGGAATAAAAATGCAACATGTGTTTGCTTCCTCATATTAAAATCTGTAATAATGAAAACAGTAAATACTATTAATGTAATAAGGAATTATAGTTCTGAAAACTCAGTTTTAAGTTATACTATATCAGAAGCACACTGGGGGCTCTGAATGAAGTAGCTCTGGAATATACTTCATCCAACTGTTGTATTTCCTTGGCTTTTAAAATGACATTCTGATAGGATATCATAATAAACTATCTTACATGGGCTCCCTAGTCAATTGGCTAAGTGCTTTAAATATTGTTGACTTGGAGGACAGTATTCCCATTGAACAGATTGTCAACCAGTTATCAATAAAAATTGTTTCTATTAATGTGACCTGAATTTATGCATGTAGTGCTTTCTTCTCTAATCATACAATAAACACTAAAGGCAACTTTCCCTTGTAATGAAATCACACTTTTATAAAGGTAATGTAGAAGGAGGAACATGTCGCTTAATTTTCTTCTTAAAGAATGACGTGTTTTAACTTTTGATTTATAGAGTGATGTGGTTGATACAGGAAATCCTTAAACCCTCTGGCTACAAAATATAAAAATGATAAAATATAAAATCTCTTAATTTATTGATAAGTCTGCAAAAACATAAAGGAATTAAGCTGAAGCCAGCAGTGAAGCCTTTACATAAGGTGACCACATACCATACATACATAAGGACATGTACAGATCTTAGAGTGGGTATGCACTGGATGCCTTAGAGGCTAGAGGCCAGACAGCTTGGTAAGAGACCACCCTACATAAAGCCAGGACTCATGAAGTACTAGAGCATGAGATAAGTGATGAAATTAGAAAACTCACTCAGCAGAGACAAACAAACCCTGAGGTTTCATGGTTCACCACCAGCCAACATGGATCTTAGACCTGAGTTTACTTATTTGTGTTGGGGAAACAAGTCTGGCAGAAGACAAAGTCCTTTTAGAGCAATGAACTTTCAACAGAGATTCCAAAAATTCACACACAAACTCCTATCAAATATGATTTTTCCCAGGAAATCATAAAATACAAGGAAATGGCTACCATAAACTCAAATGACGGAACAAGATGTACAGAGAGTCAGTCATATGTTAGAATTATTATTATAGGTTGCAATTATTGACTACAAAAAATTAGTTTAACATATTTAAAGGAATAAATGAGAAATCCAAAAACAAAACAAAACAAAAACACCCATGTAGAAAACACTGATGTAGTAAATCTCTACCAGACAAGTTATAAGCACTTTACTCAGATTAATTCCTTAAAACCCTGTAATTCCTTAATTCTCTCCACCCTGTTCTGATGTGGATACTAGCCTTCCCTTTTTATAGATGGGACCCCTCTATTCAGATACAGAGTGATTATGTAATTTGGCCAAGATCACCCAGCTAGTTGACGCCAGGGCTCTGGTTCCTAATCCAACTGGAAACATGAGTTGATGGGCCAGAGCCCATCAAAACTGACATGGTAGACTTGAAAAAGAACCTAAAAGAACTTTTAGAACTGAAAAATATAGTAACTGAAATGAAAGGGTTAAATACCAAAGAAGACCTAACTGAACTTAGAATTATCAAACTGGGAGAAAGAAGTAGAGAAATTACCCAGAATGTAGCAGAGAGAGAGATAATATGAAAGAGAAGTTGAAACACATGGAATGTTAAGTAAGGTACACCCATTTGGCATTCCATAAGGAAATCACACAGGAACAGAGAAGAAACAATATTTTAAGAAATAATGGTTGAAATTTGTAGACGTGATGAAAGATGGGATTGTAAATATATTAAGTTTTTTTTTTAAAGGGCAAACAACATTGGTAACTTTTCAAGGACTTTTACATGAAATATAAAACAGATGAATCACTGGGGATGGAGATTACAGAAAAGTGGTTCTCAAAGTTCCATTTCCAGTAATATTGCAGAAAAACAAATATGCTGGATGAATTTTTAAAATACACCACCAATTTGGCAAGAAAGTATGGAATATTTGGAGGTGAAGAAATAAGTGAAAATGGGGACAGAAAGAGGTAAACTGAACAATATAATTGGCTTTCTTTGGGGGCATACCGAGACTTTAATATGGGTTTTCACAGCCTTACAGGGAGAAGAGACAAAGTCTAGGATAAAAGAACGTCTTGTATAAAATCGGATCATAAAGGAAGGTACATGGGACAGAAAGTAAGCAAGTGTCTAAGTTTCATCAACTAATGAAAACAGTAAAATGAAAATCTGGGAAGTGGCATAAGAATGGAGAGTAAAGACTAAGGATTTATTAGAAGAGTCAAAAGAAACATACAGAATACTCACAGCCACTATCACTTTCTTTTCTCTGGTATAATCATTCTAAATATTCCAAGGAGAGGCTTTGCCCTAGTTTTTCTCTTTTGTATTTGTTGCTTTTTAATTTTATTTTCTCTATTGAAGTATCATTGATATACAATCTCATACTGGTTTCAAATGTACAACACAGTGGTTCAGTACTTAACCATACTTTAAATCCTCACCCCCACTAGTGCAGTTACTATCTAGCAACACAGAAAGATGTTACAGAATCACTGACTATATTCTCCATGCAGTACTACAATTCAAATTGTGATTGTGAATTATTGTGCCCCTTTATCCCTTTCACCTGCTCCTTCACTCACCCCAACCTCTCCTCTTTAGTAATCACTAATCACTTCTCAGTGTCTATGAGTCTACTGCTATTTTGTTCCTTCTGTTTTGTTTTATGTTCCACAAATAAGTGAAATCACATGGTATTTGTCTTTCTCCGCCTGGCTTATTTCACTAAGCATAATACCCTCTAGATCCATCCACGTTGTTGCACACAGCAGGATTTCTCTTTTTTATGGCTGAATAATATTTCATTGTGTGTATGTACCACCTCTTCTTTATCCGTTCTTCTATTGATGGACACTTAGGTTGCTTCCATATCTTGGCTACTGTAAATAGTGTGATAAACAGGGGTGCATATATCTTTTTCAATCAGGGATTGTTTTCTTTGGGTAAACTCCTAGAAGTGAAAGTACTGGATCGAATGGTATTTCTATTTTTAGTTTTTTGAGGAACCTCCATATTGCTTTCCACAGCAGGTGCACCAATTTACATTCCCACCAACACTGTAGGAGGGTTCCCATTTCTCTGCATCCCCACCAACATTTGTTGTTTCTTGTCTTTTGGATAGTGGGCATTCCAACTGGTGCGAGGTGATATCTCACTGTGATTTTGATTTGCATTTCCCTGATTATTAGTGATTTGGAGCATCTCTTTGTATGCCTGTTGGACATTTGTATTTCTTCTTCAAAAAAATGGCTGTTTAGGTTCTCTGTCCATTTTTTAATTGGGTTATTTGTTTTTTGTGTGTTGAGGCAAGGAAACTTTTTAACATATTCTTAAACATGAAGCCCTCAAAATGGAGGAAAATGTATACAAGCCATATTCTTTCAGATTCCCATCATTTAATGATAAGTATAATTATGAAAAAATTTTTCTTAAAAAAAAAAGCCAAACAAGTAACTCAACAAATTTTCTATTAACACCACCACCACCAAGACCACAAATTTAAGACAGATTTCTTTCAAGTACCTGGCAGCTGTGGTCAGTATCCAATCCATCCCAGAGACTCATAAACTGAGCTTTCATCATGGCTGTAGCTTCGTGGTCAGAACTTGAACGGTTTCGTAGAAAGGAGTCTACGAGGAAAAAGTTTTAACCTTAGAAATGAACAATGAATTATTTACTCAGCTGACAACTTTAGGAAGGATTACAGGGTTCAACTATGCCTTTCACACATTATTCTGATATAGCAATTTTGTCAAATTAAAACAATTCACAATCTTCATTTTTTTCCCTAAAAATACATTTACATTCATGCCAACATATATAAAAGTAAAGAATTTGGTACACAGAGGCTGGAAAGGATCAAGTAGCATCTTAGAAGAAAGTCTATGTGCTTTAGACTTAACTTTGGCAACCCAGAATAGATGGGGTTACTCTGATACATAGTCCAACAATAGGACAGATGGCACAAAACTGGAACTATATAAGAAAATCTAGGATACATGTTTGCCATCGCAAGAATCATGTCATGGTAATATTCTTTTGCTGTAATTATTAATCCTAATCTGGCTCTAATCCTATGTATTCTCCTTACACATTTATCCTGGTAATAATAATAATAAAAAAAGACACTGGGAAATGTCAAAACACTAAGTGGGAAAATGCAGGGCAGAAAATGGTTTAAAAGACACATGATAGCATGCACATACATATATGCTATATATAGTAAAAAAGCCTTTAAAATAATATACCAAAATGCTAATAACTTTGGTTATCTCTCAGTGATAGGCTTAAGGACAATTTTAATTTTCTCTTGAATTATTTTCTGTCTTCCTAATTACCTACAGTGAACATTAAATGCTTTCAAAAAGGAGGAAACATTTTCTTTCTAGAACAAAAAGAATGAAGGATGGTATAGCCTAAGGATGAAAAAAAGACACTAAAAATACATGCTGGATATTTTCTACTACAATCCTTTTTCAAATGTTTTGTTTTACATCCCTTCAAATCCCTGGCACTTCCAAGCAACTTTCACACTGCAGCACTGAAACTAGAACTTGAAATCTGTTAATTATACATGTAAGTGGCACAGAAATGCTTTGTAATATGTTAGGTCTAAGCTTCAAAAAAAAAACACAGCAAACATACACTCTGGATTTTCTTACACAGTTCAAAGTCTGTACAATCTGTCCTACTGTTGGATATCTATTAATCTAACCCATCTATTCTGGATGCAGAAAATCTACTCATTTATAAATTGCTTATTTGTGGAAGATAAATTGTATAAGTTCAGCTGCTTACTTAAACAACATAATTGTACTATTATTTTTTCCTGAATTACTTTATTACTAAGAAGTGAGGTTCTGGCTACTTTAAATAGTATGAAAAACTGAAAATGCTGGATAAATATAAATAACCTCACTATATCAGTTATTACATTAAATGTAGATGATCTAGAATATCCAAGTATATAATTAATATACTAGACTACAGAAAAATAAAACCTCAACTGTGTGCTGCTTAAGAGAGACACACTTTAAATATAAGGGCTCAGAATGCTGAAATGTATAGAACACTAACAAAAAAGTGGGATAAAATATATTTTTTTAATTGGATCCATATTTGATAAATGGTGTTATAACTGTACCTCCACAAGCAAAAAATAAATCTAGACACAGACCATTTACCTTTCACAAAAATTAAGTCAAAACTGATCATAGATCTAAATCCAAAGAATTACAAAATTTCTAGAAGCTACAGGAGAAAATCTGGGTGACCTTGGGTTTGGTGTTAAGTTTTTATATCCAACACTAAAAGCACAATCCATCAAAGAAAAAGAGAAAAAAAAATGGTGTGTTGGACTTCATTAAAATAAAAAAATTCTGTGCTGTGGAAGACACTGAAAGAGATGACTGAGACTAGGGGGAAAATTTTTGCACAACACATATTTGATAAAGGACTTGTATCCCAAATATACAAAGAACTCTTATAATTCAGTAATAAGAAAATAACCCAATTTAAAAATGGGAAAAGATCTGAAGACGCCTCACCAAAAAGATAAATAGATGACAAATAAATGTATGAAGAGATGCTCAACAATTAGGGAACTGCAAATTAAAACAATGAGATACCACTATACACTTATTAGAAAAGTTTAAAAAACCCAAAAACCTGATAATATCAAGTGCTTAAGAGGATGCTGAGAAATAGGACTCTTCATTTGCTGGTAGAACTGCAAAATGATACAGCCACTTTGGATGAGTGTTTGGTAGTTTCTTACAAAGTGAAACAAACTTACCATACAATCCCACAACTGCACTCCTATTTACCCAATTATGTTGAAAATTTATGTCCAGGCAAAATCCTGCATATCACTGTTGTGAGAGTAATTGCCCAAAACTGTAAACAACCAAGATGTCCTTCACTAGAGGAATGGATATACAAACTGTGGTATAATAGAATATTACAAATCAATAAAAAATGAGTTACCAAGCCAGAAGACATGTAGGGACCTTAAATGTGTATTGTTAAGTGAAAGCCAGTGATTTCAACTATATAACATTCTGTGAGGCAAAACTATAGAGACAGCAGAAAGATCAGTGGTTGTCAGGAGTTCAGGAGGGCGGAAAAGGTGAATAAGTGGAGTATAGGGGATTTTTTAAGGTGGTACAACTATTCTGTCTGTTAATAGTAGATACATGAATGCCATTAAGAATTTTTGAAAGCCCACAACTCTACAAGAAGAAGAATGAACTTTAAGACAAACTCTGGGACTTTAGTTATTAATAATGTATTGATGTCCATTAATTATAACAAATGTTATAACACTAATGAGAAGTATTGAAAGTTGGGGACACTATGGGGGGTGCACATGGGGAACTCTGTACTTTCTGCTCAGTTTTCTGTAAACTTAAAACTGTTCTAAATAACAAAAGTCCAGTAATAGGAAAAAAAAAAAGGTTAATCACTATCTAAGATTGTAGAAAAAAATTCGAGTTCAGAGAAAAGGGAACTGAAAGTAAGAGTGCTGAGAACTTGAGGTGACTATGCCACTGTCTGTATATCTGTGTATACAGCAGGTATACATGTGTAGCATCAGAAGGGTCTGCTTTGGTGTCAATATTCGTGCTGAAGCCAAGATGCTCAAAAGGATGTACATTCACAGACAGTCCAGACAAGAAAAAAATCTTGCTCACTACTACAGGGAGTTAAGAAAGCTTGTTTGTGTTGGCCTGGGCCCTGGGGGGAAATATGTCTCCCCTGAAAAATACAAAACCAGGACGACTGGGATTTTTTCAGGCTTGATGTATATGAACTGTCATTCACTAAACATCCAAGTTGAGAAATTGTCATAAAAACTGATCCTGAGTGATTAGACCCCAGCAGCTCTAAGTGGAAGACAGAAAACCTACTCTCGATCTTCTCAGGCAACACGGAATTCTCATCTAAAAGCAAGCTGTAAGCCATCTAATGTTAGAAATGACACAAAGAAACAAATTCCTATAAGGAGAGTTAATCCTAACAAAAGAAAAAGCTACAGTGAAAAAAGATAAATTTGAAAGGAAACCAAAAATAACTTCTAAAGTTCAAATATAATCACTAGAATAGAAACCCAGTGGTTGTGAGATTAAACACGGACAAGCAAATAATTGCTTTTTAAAACTTACTCAGATTGATTTTGAGTTGTACCATTATTTTATGTATCAACCAAAACCTCAAAATACTACCAATTAAACTGTAATACTAAAAGGAAACACACTGTCAATTAAATTATAACATGCTATCCCAATATCAGAAGGTTCAAATGTAAAAGACAAAATAAAAGTATATTTTAGAACTGATGAAATATGGAGGAGAACTGGATGACAAAAACTGGAATGACTCAAAAATAAGTAGAGAGTTGAAGTTATAACTTTTTTTTATGAAATGGAAGCTTTTCATAAGAAATGGAACATTCAAAGAGATATAGTGTCTGAGAAACATTCTGGAATTAACAGAGCCATGAATCCCCAGATTAAAAATCACAGTTAAGTCTTTGTAGGATAAATAAAAACCATCATCAAAGAGTAGAACAAGATAAAAATCTAACAGCAACTAGAGAAAAGTTACTTACAAAGAAAAATTAGGCTATAAGCAGAATTCTCAGAAGCAATAAGAAGGATTGGAAGATAATGTACTTGTAGCTTTAAAATGCTGAAGGAAAATAACTATTGTTAAAGAGTGAAAGTAGAAGTTAACACATTTTCACACAAGACAGACAGAATTCACTGTATTCTTGATCTCTGCAAAAGAATCAACAGCTTTGACTAAGAAGGAAATTAAACCCAGATAAGGCAGCTTCACAAAGCAATAGTAAGCAAAGATCCTGGAAAACATGGCTCTATAAACACGCATGCCTACATAAAAAGAACAACTAATATGGACTGTATAAGGTAAGAGAAAATGTTACCAATGACATGTAAGAGATGAGGGGAATGACTAATATTCAAGAGTTCTAATGTTCCTGTATTATCTGGGAGGGGGCAGAAATGATTAGCCTAGACTTCTGAGACAAGTAGGTATGCTAAGTGTTTCATTAAAAGAAAAGAATACTTAACTTCTAAACCTGTAACAGGCAAAAGGGAATAAAGAGATAAAAAAAGTCCACTAGATTGGTTAATAAAAAGCATACAGTAATGTGTTAGCAATAAAAATACCAGCTATCAAATGAGGACTAACTGACCATGCTTCCTGGTTAAAGTCTTAGATTAAAATATTAAAAAATCTAGCTAATGCCCTTTTGTGCAAAATTCATACCCAAAACTACTGGAGTAGTAAATTGATGAGAAAGAGAAACAAGGCAGACAGGTAATCAAAGTACTCCATTTCTATACCTATCTTTCTCTTTATTTCTATATAGCCTATATCATTATATATAATAGTGTAATTAATTCAAAGCTATAGCTTTCATTACTATAGATTATATATATATATATATATATATATATAACTTCCTGTGCCAGTAACAAAAATATCGATGGTCCACAGAATATAGAAAAAGGCCACGAATAAAAGTCATGACATACAGGGAAAGATGATGTATTTTGTGAGTTGGCTGTCGTATGAAAAAGAATGAAATTAGACTCCTACTTCACCCCACAAAGTTAAAAAAAGAGAATACTTACAGGGGTAATGAAGGGATTTGTAAACCAGACACAAAAAGTATAAATCATAAAGGAAAAAGACTGATGAATGTAACTACATTTAAATTTAAATCTCTATTTAAGAAACTATCATAGAGTGAAGACAAGCCAATCTATAAATATTTGCAATCATAATAAACATCAACAAGAATTACCAAGAAAAATGAAAAAACCCCAAAGAAAAACTGGCAATCTACAAGCAAGGAAACCCAAATAACTAATCAACATGTGAAAAGATGCCCAAATTTCCTCATAAACAGGGAACACACAAATTTCAAAGTGCTAATTCACTCTTTTAAATTGACAAAAATTAACAATAATGTCTGAAATAATAAATTTTAGGACATATGTAGGTAACAAACCATACAAGGTGAGCATGAAAACAGGAAAAACCACTTTGAAAAACAGGTAATCCTATTGAGGATGAAGATGGATTCACCACATAACCTAATGGTTCAACTTCTAGATATTTACCCTGAACAAACACATCAGCATGAGGAAACATGTACACATTTGTCCCCTGTACACTGCTTGTAAGAAAGGGAAAACAGGAAAAACTATCAAGTAGGGTAATGAACAGATTATTGTTCACTCCACAATATGGAAATTAAATATAGCATATTAGGGTGTTGCTTATCTCATTTCAACTGGCCTGGTAAACACCAAAAACTACATTCGATCATCTACCACCCTCAGAAATGGTTGTTTTAAAATGCTCACATAGAAAACATAGCATACCTATTTCATCTATAAAGATGATGGAAGGCTGCAGCTTTATGGCAAGGGAGAAAACAGCGGCAGCCAGTTTCTGAGATTCTCCATACCACTTATCAGTCAGTGTTGAAGGCTGGAGGTTAATAAATCGACAGCCTGCTTCTTTGGCTGTAGCCTTGGCGATCAATGTTTTACCACAGCCTGGTGGCCCATAGAGAAGAACACCTGGAAATTAACATGTTATTATTTATTTCCTTTAAGAGAATGGAATACTTTAGCTTATGTGATAATCAACATAATATTATCTCTGCCCACACTAAAATTTTCCCAATATTCACTTGTGTTTTTATTAGTCTTTTCTATAGTAGAAAAAGAATGCTCCATATTCTAAGGTCAGTGTATGACATGTATTTAGCACCTTTGTGCCTCCTCCCTTTCGGAAAAGATCCAATTCAGGATATTAGATACAATCATCTTGACATCTAAACTCAAACCACTCGATCAATGCTTGACAAGTAAAATCTAATGCCCTCCACCTTCAAAAGCTACCAGAGCACTACAGCACACTGATCACAGCCCAGAGAAAACTGACAACTTCCTTAAAACAGATTGTAGCAAGTACTGTTTTATGGCTGCTCAGAAAATTAAATTTTAGCCAAAAGGATGTGTGCCTTTTTCCAAACAGTAATGACTCTTCTTAAAAGGAACAGAAATTACCAGTCTCTCCTGTTTTAATTTCCAAGGAATAAAACTATCATTAACCTAAGTCTCCAGTGGCAACAGTTTGCTGTAAATATAACAATAAGTTAATTCTTTTAATATACAAGGAATCTAAAGAGGCTGGGGTCTTGAGAATTTTGGGAATCATTACCAACTGTTTTTCAACTAAAACGCATCTAGTTGAAAGATGTAGCATTTTCTAAGTTAATATAATACTAAATTATGGCCCTGTCTATAGATTGTCTATAACAGGCCTGACAAAAATGGTAATTCCACAGACTTCTTTATATATTTAATTCAGAGCTTCTTAACTTTTCTCATGTAGTAGTACTTAAAAGACAACATTTACAGGAGGCATGCATACAGGAGGGTAAAATGGAGAGGATTTGGAAGTATCCAAAATATTCCTATTATATAATAAAAATGAAATACAAAATACAAGGGAAGAAAAATAAGTTTTTTATATAAAATTTCCCCTATTTTTATTTCTTTAAAAATGAGAAACTTGAGCTTGATTGCATAAATGTGGTAAATTTTTTTACATCAAGCCCTTCAAAATAATGTTCAAACTTTGCCTCAACACAAAGATTTTTCTAGTAGTCTTGCTAATTCTTCTTTAAGATTCAACTAATCCAAGCTTAATCACTTAAAATGATAGCTCCAACTTTATCTTTATGTGATCTTGTATGTATGATCTCACATACTGCATGGATAGAATATAAACAAGTCATTCTGAAATTACCTTTTTACAATCTGTGAGGCAGTGATCACTTTGGGGCTAAACAGCAATGAACTGTCTAACGGTAACATAAAATTTGCAATAAAACAGTGATTCTAGCCTAGGTAACCTATTTCTAGCCCCCAAATGGAACAAGTATAACATGTGTAACTGATTTTATACAGTATAAATGGAACAAGTATAACTGATTTTTATATTCCTGCTTCTGAACACTAATACCCAATTTATGTTGAGGGTAAGAGTAAATCAATGATTTCTCAAGCTTCTGTGAATTTTTCAAAAATGAAAAGCTGGAAAACCGCAAATAGTAAAATTTTATATTACATAATCAGGAGATAGTCATATAACTTAAGAAAATTTAAAATACACAAAGGAACCATCTCTAGTTTTGAATAATGTTTTCAAGTAAGCACAGATTTACACATAACTACTGAAGTATTCCTCGTGATTTGGTATCTGCTCTATTAATTGGGGCTTTAAACCAAGTTCAACTGGTAAAGTCACTCACTTACCTGGACTGAGACATCACTGATGAGAAAATGGCTTTCTTTATTAGCATATAAATAACTTTGTATTTTCCTAAATTTACTAACACTGTAAAACTGAGACATAAAAATTCACAAAAGTTCTGTATTATTTAGACTAAAAACAACCTGGAAGAGGTAGTAAAGAACTCAACTAAATAATACAGCTTTACCTTTCTCTTTTGATCTGAGTTCAGGTAAGTCATTTGAAATTTTCTTTGGGGAAAAACAATACAATAAACAAAATGCCTTTTTTTTTTTTTTTTTAGGAGAAGTAAATGTAAATTTTTTTTAGGAAAGAAAATAGCCTTGTTTTACAGAAAATAAAAATACAAGTAACAAACAACTTTGCTGTTTTAATGAAAACAACATGTCATTTTTGGTGATAACTGTCATCCTCTATTTACCAGAAACAAAAACTATCTACTTTATAAGAATATACAGGAATCAGCTTCAATTATCTTTGAAATATAAATCAATGTATCTTTTGATATAGCTACAAAATTAGTAAAATTACAAGCAACTACAACTTATACACAGTGATATTTCTAAAGATTCTACTTTAAAAAAAATTCATGTTTCTAATAATTTGAGTTCAGACTTGACTAGTAATATAAATCAAACCTGTCTAGTATTAGTAATACAACAGAGAAGCTTCCACTAGCTGGAAATGAGTAAGTTAAGCTACAGTGTTCATATCCCAAAGCCAAGATAACCCACCTCTCTACGTCACTATCATTTATCAAGTAAGCGCCATTTGAATCACCTTTTAACAAGAGTTAGACATGTTTTGTATTTTAACTGAGCAAGAATAAAAGGATGCAGTTATAAGCATTTCTAATACTTGAGTTCCAAGGCTTTCAAATTACTAACTAGGAATAAGGAAAAGTTTCCCTGAAAAATAAGTGGTATTTAATTTCTAGCTCATCAACAGTTTAGTATTTCCTATAAAAAAACACACTGCAATCTAAAAATAATTTAGATTAGCAAGAGGAAAAAAAAACCACTAGAATTATAAAATGGAATTACAAAAAGGAGATCTTATTTTGGGGGGAAAAAGCCCATATTGTGACTTTGACTTTGGTTTTTATTTAACCTCAATTTCTGAAATTTTCATATACTTGGAAGTAATAAAAATGAGTGTGAAATAAAAAGATTATTTTGACATGTAACTATAAGGGAATATTTATCTAAATTTGGGAAGCTGAAGAATGAGCAATTATTTTTAAACTACCTTTTGTAAAACACTGCACAGATCTTAGCATTCTCTTGAAAATCTAACTTTAAAAATACTAGTTCTATAATGACAAAGTTTCGGTGTTTCCTAGGTTTTTAATGCTTTAGCAAATATAAACTTTTACCATACCTTTTGGAGGCTGTAGGAGCCTGGAATTTTCAAACAAATGCTTCTTTTTGATAGGTAAGATGACTGTATCTTTCAGATCTGTAATGACATCATCTAAACCTGCTATATCACTCCAAGTAACCTGGTAAAGGTAAGGTCAACATGAATTTTACAATTAATGTATACTCATCGAAGTAAAAAATCCTCCCCTGCATGGCAAATCTTAACCTTGTAATTATATACAAATAGCAAAAGATTACAATGACATATTAATGTGAGGAAAGGCTGTTCACAGCAATAATGAAATTATTAAACTACTATAAAACAACAAAAAGGAATTTAACAGTCATCTACCTACTCTTAAAAACTAGGCCCAGCACTCAAAACTCTGCAGGAATCCAATAAACTGAATTCACTCCATTTTAGAAGGGAAAATAACCTGCCAAGACTGAGAACCATCTCGGACAGGTAATTCAGCACTGGCTGATGGGAAAAAACTCCCAAGGAGTGTGCCTAATTCATACTTGATACTGTCAAAAAATAGGGATGAATTTTAGAAATAATGTCTATACCCACAACAAACTGGATTTCTCAATTTTATTAATCAAAAGAAAAACTTGTGTCTTTATCAATAGTAAATGGGATACATTTTCAAAACAGAAATAGCTATGTATTTTAAAGCCTTCTAACTAAACTTAAAAAATGTGGGGGTGGAGGGTGGGGAATAGACTGAGAAAGTCTTAAAAAAAAAGGACTGGAGGTGAGGCCAGTCAAAACTAATATTTACAACACACTGAACTTTCTTTATTTACAACTAAAAGAAAAAGAAAGTGAAAAACCACAGCCAAATCTGAAAAAAATCATCACCTATTTTCACTGCAGCTATTATAAAAAACTGGATCTTTTTGTATAGCCTTTCTCAGATGTGAATACAGGTAGGGCTTCAAGAAAGTACCACTGTAAATTTATAAAGCAAATTCAAACGGAGAATTAATTCTGGGGGCAGGTATATCTCTGTGCACACAGATATGCAGACATCGTAGATTCTTATTTTGATTCGTATTTTCTAGATTTGGAAGTAGATATATTTCATTCTATTTACATTACCTGTTACAAAATTTATATATATCAGTTGTTATAGAATATTCACATAGGGTTTATTAAGTTACATTCATCTGATCCTCAAAGTAATCACTTTGAAATAGACAGGGCAAGTAGCACTTTGTGTCTGGATTATACCTCAGGGAACCGACTCAAAGAGGAAATGATTTGCCAAGGCCAGGAATGGAAAAACTGGGATTCAGAATCTTGTATAGTTTGCCACACCTTACTGTGAAAATCTGTATTTAAACCCCAAATCAAATAGCCACATGACCTAAAGCACTACTTTATATGCCACAAAGATGAATATATAAAAGTACTTAATTAAACAAATGTGTGCCCAAAAGTTAACATGGCAGGATGTATCATTAGAAAGGTCTGTTGCAAGGCTGATCCTTGGCTGGAGTACAGTTAATTTAGATTTCTGGAGAGTTCTCACCATTCTTTGATAAGAATAGCTCACTGTGCTTCAACTGTTTGAGCAAACAGTACCAATTATGGTAGATAATTGTTTTCCTTCTGGGAGTCTAGAATTCTGATAAATGTTAGGAAGACAAAGTCTGCAAAACCAGTCCTAATCAAAACTCTGGGTACTAAGTCTCTAATGAGATTCTCTGACAGCATTTCACAGGTGTTCTCGCACAGCTTGTTGCTGGAAGAAGTGAATACCTGTGTGTGACTTCACTGGGGGAAGACCCTTGGGAGCTTGTGCCTGATTTCCTCCATACTTCATCCCATCCTTGCTGGTTTTGCCTTGTATCCTTCCACTGTAATAAATCATATCTGAGAGCTCAACTATGCTGAATACCGTGGTTCCCCCTAGGGAATTACCAAACCTGGTCGCAGTGTTTGAGAAGCCTGATACAAAATGGTAGACAAAAAGAAATCTTAAAGATTTAGGATACATACATGCATGTTTAGAGGGTCTACTAGATGAGCAGCAATACTCATTTCATATTCTGAAAGTTTCACATTTTTCACACCAATTTGCTTCATTAATTTTTCTGCCTAGAAAGAAGAAACAAACACATGCTTTAGTTTGTTAGATAACTGGTACTTCAAAACAGGTATCTGTGAAGTCTAGAGCCATGAACAGTCATAGAGGAACTTTCCAGGGGTATTCTAGACCCCTTCATCTCATCATTTCCCAGTGTAAGCCCTCAGGTAAAGAAAAGGTTTGAAAGTCTATTTCATAGAAACCAGGCTAATTTAAACCAGTTCTTGAGAAATGAGAAAATAAGGTACATGATTTAAGAGATACATAATAAAGACCTGCATTTCTAGTGAAACTCTAGGGTCCAACTTGATTTCTCTTTCCTAGTAGGATTATCATGACAGGTCAAAGTGAAACCTCAAATGGAAGATCAACGGTTAAGAATATCAAGAAATGGACAACGGGAGTTTCTTTCCTTAGCAGAGTATCTGGAAATAGGTTCCTAACTTCTTCCAAGTACCCAGGTATCTACAACAGGTGTTCATACCATCTAATTTCAAGTTGTTCTGAGATTCTGTTCCTTGTAATTAAAGTCAATTCTGGGGTTATTCAACCAGAAGTAATAAAAATAATCCTGAATTAGAAGTATACTTCCATATATTTTTAGAACTGAATTAGAAGTATACTTCCATATATTTTTAGAATCTATGAGCTCTAACAATGTAACAAAGCTTTCAATTAAAATGGAAATGATGATAATGATGAACATTTACTGAACGTACCAAATATTATGCCAAAATACTGCAAATGGATTAACTTACAGAATCCTCAAAGTAATCTTATGAGGTAGGTAGCTTTTGCCCATTATGGAAAAGAAATTGAAGCTTACTCAGATTAAGTAATTTGCCTTAGGTTAAAAGTTAGCAAATGAGAGAAGCAACACACAAATCCAGACAGTCCAACTCTAGAGCCTATACTCTCTGACCACCACAAATACTACCTTGGTTTCCCCAATTATAAGATGGGAGCTCATGATCATTAAAGAATCTTTGGAAATTTACAGATAACATATTGGAATTTCAATTAAGTGTGATTATTTTTAGAAATGAAGATGCTCTGGTAAACCTTATTTACATTTTTGCTGTTAAATTTTCCTAAAATGCTTTTGATATCACTCTCAAGGTATTTGCTGCTCTAAAAGGAAATGCCTATTAAATGGCATTATATTTACTGAGGTTAGAGGATTAGGATAAATGTGTATTGATATCCTAGTAATACTGCATTTTTAAAAGTGTTATTGATTACATCATTTTCCCTATTTAGCTATCCCTATGTAAGACTGCTGAGTTAATGTATAAAGTAGCCTTTCCAGATTCTTTTATCTCTTTCTTGAAAGTATCTTCACTTTCAGTGACTTTAAATCTTTTATCTATCAGCTATGAAAGGTACTTTAGTATTTTAGTATCTGTAATAACATTAATTGACTCTTCTTTTTCATTGTTTCTAGAAATGTGAAGTCATCCACATGTGTTCTATTTAGGCTATGCTCTAAAACAGTGGTTCTCAACCGAGGTGATTTTTGCCCCCCAGGTACATTAGGCAGTATCTTTGGGTTGTCACAATTTCCATGAGTTGGGGTGTGTGTGCTGGTATCTAGTCATCAAAGACAGGGATGCTGTTAAACATTCTAGAAGATACCTGACCCCTATCCCCCTTTCCCCAAATTATCTGGTATAAAATGTCAACAGTGCCACATTGAGAAACCCTGATTTTTTCCCCATTGGCTAGTTGCCCCTTGAATGGAAACAACTTCCTCTTGCTCTAAATAAAAACCTTTATTTATATCTGGAATTTTCTAAATAAAAATTATTAACTATGTTATTTACTTTACAGAGACAGAAAATGTTGTAGTCAAGTTTACCTAGAATCTTTTCCCCACAACAGCAGTCCCTTTTAACAATATCTTCAGGTTACATTAGTAACACTGACATGACAGAGAAAAGAAATTAGCATTACTGAGCACCTACCACATGTCTGGCTCTTACAATCACCCTTAAAACCATCCTAAGAAGCAGCTATTACTCTTCTCACTTTTTGATGGGGAAGTCAATAGTCACAGAAATAAAAAAAACTGCCAAGATTACACAGCAAGGAACTGGCATTACCAGAGCTCTAATCCTGATTTGTCTAATTTCAATGCTCATGTTCTGCTGAAACACTAATATTCCTCATTTGGGTGAGCAAATAAATGAAAATAAAGCACCCAAAACCACATCAAAGCAACACCAAACTGTGTTTTAGGAAGAAGTTATCCAATTACCTAGCTTTCCTTTTTAATTGAGCCCCGATTTCTAAAATGTTTTACCTTGAAAAACAAAATTATGATTGGGTTACTCTAAAAATGGCTTATGTTCATGCACTGCTTTACTGTTCACAGCTTAATAACAATTATGCTTCCCAGTCACCGTCATTTGCTTGGTTTATGAAGTGGGTCTCTCCAAGTAGTTGTCTCTATGGAGGTAAAACACCAAACTGGGGGTGAGGGTAGTCAGAGGTAGGGAGGAAGCTTTTATTGTATATTCATCTTTTGAACTATCTGACAGTATTTTTTACTCTTTTGTATTTCTTTGTTTTTTTCTCCAGGTGGAGTATTATTTTCAAAAAATTAGTAAGTGGGGTAGGAAATAGCGAACTGCTTCATTTGCCTAGAATGGGGATGGAGGAAGTGCAAAGGAGCAGTAGAAAAGAAACACTCATTTATTTAGGTTCTACAAGATTCGTAAATTTGGCTGTTCTTCTGGAAGAATAATTTTACGAAGAAAGAGATACTTGTGTAGCAAGAGGGCAGAAACAGGTGAGTTCATCAAGCTTAGATCAAAAACCTTTTACTGAGATCATAGCTGAAGTATTCCAATTTAAGGAGGAACATGATACAGGAAATCACTAATACAAGGTTTTTAAAATTATATTTAAACAGGAAATAGCAAGGAATTTGAGTGTTTACATATTAGGTATAGGCATTTACTATAAACTTACATTAAAATTCTAGAAAACACCCTTTTCTAGACATGCAGAGACAGACATCTTCTTTGTTAAGGTTAGCATGTTTACATCTCTCTCTTCAAATTTTACTGTATGTATTCTTAAAGTCACCGGGTAAGATGGCTTCCTAACAGAGTGTTCTTCTATGCTTGTATATAAAACACAATACTGCACTGACTTTTTTCTCATTTCCCTCCTCTTTTGTTGCTTTTCTTTTCTTATAGCTTCTATCTATCCCTTCTACTCAAACAATGCTAATGGCTTATTCCTTACTGATTTCTATCTTAATTTCCTATTTACTTCAGCTTATTAGTCTTCTAAGATTCAGCTCCAGTATATTATAGTTTTAAAAGCCACCTGGTTGGTAATGCAATTCACAATGGCTTCTTGGAGTAAACGTTAGCTCTTCTAAAGGGTAAAGGGGATTTTATGATGGTGGCTCAAAAAAATACCTGGCAGTTGAGAATTCCAGTTTTTTTGAAGGTTTCAGTTTATCATCCCTTCACAAAATATTTCATCTGTTACTTCTCTCAAAAAACAGAAATGAAGTTTTGAGAATTAAAGTATAACAATAGGACTAAACTAGGAAAACACTAAGTTAAATGACTGAGGTCACAGTATATGACCTTTATGTGTATGAAGAATTATTGGTAATGACTCCTTCCTGGATTTTGACAACTATAATCTCAGGATATTACATAGTTTAATTAACATGCTAAACAAAATACTGTATTTACAAATTCCCAGAACAGGCTAAGCATTAAGTTATTCGTCCTATACTTGAAAGCTCTGAAATAGAGTACACCTAGAGATTCCATTTTCCTACATCCCAATTAACCCTACCTACCTGTTCACCACTTATATACCTATCAAAACTTTTCTATATTTAAATATGAACCAAGTAGCAGCATGTGCCTAGAAAATCCCTTTCTCTGCATAATACTCTTCAGAAACTATATCCTCTCTCATTACCAATTAAATAGCCATCATTTCACCAGGCTGCTAAGTTTTCCTGACTTCAGGCTTGAAAATACCTGTTTTCTATTATCTTTATTATTTCCATTCTTTGATTATCTGTGGGTTTATTGTGTGAAAATTTAAGCTGGATATTTATTGAGTTTCTACCTTCTTTTCTAATATAAGCACTATGCCTTTCTCTCTAAATTCTGCCTGATAGTTTGAGTTTAATTCAATTGTAAATATTTTCCAATTTCAACTATATCTTCTCTTACTCAGGAGTTATTTGGAAAGGTTGCTTACTTTCCAAACTTATTGGAACTTTTAAATAATCTTTCTGAACTACATTGTAGCCAAGAAATGTAATAAATATGCTACCAGTACTATGAAACTTGAGATTTGCTTTATAATCTAATATTTGGTTAAATTTCACAAATCTTACATGTGGTGTGCTTGAGATACATACTCTGCATGTGTTATGGGTATGATATACTATATACATGGTCCCTAGCTAAAGCTTGTTATTTGTTTAAGTCTACATCCATACCAATTTTTAAAAAATATTTCATCTATCAATTATTGAAAGAAATGCTAAAAATCTACCACTGTGATGGTGAATATTTCTCCCTGCAGTCCTATCAATTTTCCGCTTTACATATTTTGAGGCCACATTAATAGGTACACACAAACATAGGTGAATTGAATCTTTAATCATTCTGTGGTGAGCCTCATTTCTCTAATATTTTTGCATTACAGTTTATTTTTAACCAGCTTTCTCTTTGTATTGTGTGGTATATGAATTTTCTATCCTTTTATTTTTAACCTTTCTGTATTTACATCTTATATGTGTCACTTCAAATAGTATATGGTTAAATTTCTCTCTTTCAACTACATTTTTTACTTTAGCTGAATTACTACAGGGGTACAGTCTTTTGGGGTTGCAGATTTATGTAAGTATTGTCTACAACCCACACTACTTTGGATTGATCCTATGCTTTGCATCCTGAGCTGCCCTGGGTCACAAAAACAAATCTCAAATTCAGTAGCTTCAGCAAATCTTCCAATCTGTGAGAGTTGGCCATGAAGCTCACCTCACCTTTTTGAATTTTTGCCTTATTTTTAATCTGAATTTCTGTCTCGCAAGCTCAAAAATGCCTTTAAGAATATTAAATATATATTCTTTATCTAGATTGTTTACTTATTTTCAACAAGGTCAGTCCAGGTACCTAGTTGGCCTAACCAACCCACTTATTGTCTGCTGGATTCACATCATTTTCCCATTCCCTAACTGAAGGTTTACTCTTTAGCCTACTATTAATGATGTTTAATAGCATCTCCTGTAGAGTTCTCATCACAATATAGTTATCAGCATCTACCATAGTAAAAATTATGTAAGAAGCTCTCAAAACATATTTGAATGTATAAATCTTGATGGTGGTAGAAAAGTGGAGGAGTAGCTTGGGGAAATCTCCAAATGATACATACCTACATAGGAATAACTCTGGGGCCCACTCCATCTCAGTGAGATCACAGCTCTCAGGTGTCCAACTACTTATGAGCTTCTAATGAAGAAACTCTAAAGACCAGCTTTTTTCTGAGATTTAGACCTACAATTTCAACTACTGAATGAATTATTTTCCCCTAGTGACCTACCATCAACACAAACTCAATATGCTCATATTCCATCAAATGTCATCTCCCCATAAACTTGCCCTATCTACCAGTTTTTAAACCTCTATAAAAGACACTGAGTCTTTGAGGACTCTAATGAATCTCAGTGTCATTTATAAGATGACCTTTTTTCTTTTCTATATCACTACAAAGTCCTTCAAGCATTCATTCTTTAAGTCTACTTGACCCATTCTACTCCTTTTTACCACCTCCTTATGCTAGGTCTTCACCAGGAATATTGCAGTCCAAACTAACAGATGTTACTTCTAGTCTCCCTGACTCCAATTCCTGCTGAATATTATTGTAAGATGAATTATCCTTGAAACATTGCTTTGCATGTGACCCACCTACTCAAAAATCTTTAACAGGCAGTTAGGCAGTTTAGCAGTTTATCACTAGAAGACTTCAACTGGTCAGCAGCATATTTCAACAGCGGCCAAGTTGAGAAAAAAGAACAAAGCTGGGAGTATCAACACTCCCTGATTTCAAACTACACTACAAAGCTATAATGATCAACAGTATGGTACTGGCATGAGAACAGATACATAAACAGAATGAGAGCCCAGAAATAAACCAATACATATATGGTCAGTTAATATATGACAAAGGAGGCAAGAATATACAATGGAGAAAAGACATTCTGTTCAATAAATGGTTCTTGGAAAACTGAACAGCTACATGCAAAACAATGAAACTGGATCACTGTCTATATATAAAAATAAATTCGAACTGGATTAAAGACCTAAAGACCTACAACCACAAAACTCCTAAAAGAAAACATAGGAAGTAAACCTTTGGACATTACCCTCAGCAAATTCTTTCTGAATACAGCTCTGTAGGCGAAGGAAACAAAAGTGAAAATAAACAAGTGGGACTATATCAAACTAAAAAGTTGCTATATAGCAAAGGAAACCATCAACAAAACAAAAAGGCAACCTACTGTATGGGAGAACATTATTTGCAAATCACATATCTGAAAAGGGTTAATATCCAAAATATACAAGGAACTCATACAATTCAACCCCCACACAAAAAAAATCTGATTAAAAAATGGGAAAAGGACATGAACAGAAATTTTTCCTAAGAAAGCATATACATGGCCAACAGACATGTGAAAAGATGCTCAACATCACTAATTATCAGAGAAATGCAAGTCAAAACCACAATGAGATACCACCTCACACCAGATAGAATGGCTATTATCCAAAGGACAAGAAATAACAAGCGCTGGCAAGGATGTGGAAAAAAGGGAACGCTTGTGCACCATTGGTGGGAATGTAAACTGGTGCAGCACCATGGAAAACAGTATGGAGGTTCCTCAAGAACTCAAAAATAGAAATACCATTAAGACCCAATAATTCCTCTTCTAGGAATTTACCTGAGGAAAACAAAATCACAGACTCAAAGATATACAGTCCTATGATCAATGCTGCATTATTTACAATAGCCAAGATAAGGAAGCAACCTAAGTGTCCATCAATAGATGAACGGATAAAGATGTGCTACAAACACACAACAGAATATTACTTAGCTGTAAAAATGAGATAACTCTTGCCATTTGCAACATGGTCCATACATAGCATGGATGGACCTAGAGGGTATTATATTAAGTGAAATAAGTCAGGCAGAGAAAGACAGGTAGCATAAGATTTTACTTATATGTGGAATCTAAAAAACAAAACAATCAATCAAGTTAACAAAACTGAAATAGACTCACAGACCCAAAGAAGAGACTGGGGTGAATGAAATAGATGAAGGGGACAAAGAGGCACAAAATTCCAGTTAAAATATAAATTAGTCACAGGGAAGAAAGTACTTCATAGGGAATATACTCAATAATACTGTGATATCTTTGCATGGTAACAGATAGTAACTAAACTTACTGTGATGAGCATTTAATAATGTAGATAATTGCCAAATCATTACATTATAGTCATGAGGCCAATATTTGTATATCAACTATACTTAAATATGTTAAAAAAAAAAGTTGGCCAAGGATGTAAGAAAAAGTATCAAAGAAGCTAGGGCCCTAGCCAAGCAATAAGCATGCATTTTCCTTGGTTGATGATGGACTTCTGAAATGCTCTAACATTTTGTATCAGCCTCTGTCCACCCAGCAAAATATTAAAAGAATAGAGTAAGGAAAAAGCAGAGCCCTGTTCTCTGACTTTATCATTTAGTCCCTTACCTCTCCTTCCAAGTTCTATTCATTGGTTGCATAAACCCTCTACTGCAACCAACTCACCTATTTTAACTGTTCATTTAACAGGTCTTGTCATTCCTACCCCTATTATGATTCCATGCATGATTATCGTTGTTTAAAATTATTCTTGCCTATTTTAGAGGCCAAGGTCTTTCATGAAGTCAAGCCTCAATCACTAGTGAATGCTCATTATTATAAATGCCATAATTTCTATCCACTACTCATTAGGCAAGTAAGGTATGCTACTATTCTAATTTATATTATCACAAACAAGTCTTTTACCCTACTGTGGGTACTATGAAGACAAATGTGGTAACTAATATTTCTACATACCTGGTATTTAGAACACTACTGTACACATAGGTTCCAATAAAGGCTTAATGTTAACAATCATTTCATGTATTACTTAATAGCTGTATTTGGCTTTCTACATGTCTTCCACATGTGTGTTCCAGAAGCAAAGTAAATGAAAAAATTGTTCAGACATCACCTCTCCACTTTTAAAAATTCTGAAAATGGTATGATTTACCAGTATTCTCACCTCAGACTTAAACTTTCATGAATCAGGTGGCAGAAAAAGCAACGCTTAGATTGACACATGGATATATCCAAATTAATTAAAAAATAAAAAATCTACACTGGTCATACTTCCTAGAGATTTCTGAATTGATTGATATGATGATATCAGCTGGATCTTGAGCCAACTGTTTTATAATCAAATATAGGGAACAAACTCACAATTGTCCAAATCATTTTTCAGATGTATACAAAAAGCAGTATTATGAAGTTCACTGACTTAAAAGAGTTATGCAGAGCACTGTAAAGCAGTCATTTATTTATATCCCAGTTTTCCACAGCATTTTGAAAGAATACTAGCCCACAGCATTTTGAAAGGACAAGATTTATTTATTTTTTATTCTAGGCACCAAGTAATTGCTAGGAGCTCAATAATGTTTATGGAATGCATCAGAGTCACAACTCACAGAAGAAATGTAAAAATGCCTGATATGAACGTCTTGCCTTCAAATAGCAAGAAAAATTTGAGACTCCTTTAAAGCTTTTATTTTTTGAGGAAAAATAAAAATTGAAACAAGTCACATACAAAGGAGAGGCTAATTCAATAAGTAACTGTTCAACAGATAAATTTTAACTGCAGAAAACCCCGCCATTTAATCACTCCAACAGAATTGCTGTCAGACTTTGAACAATTTCCAAAAGAAAAGTCAAGGGCCCCCCTCTCCATTACCAGGAGCCATTCACTTCACAACAGCAGTACATTCTTTAATAAGGAACTGACCACAAGAGGCAGTAGCTAAAAAAATAAAAAGTTCAACTTAATAACATATTTTAGTAATTCTTTAAGTACAAATTTGTGTAATTTGAAAGCCTAAGCGTAACTGCTTGTTAGTATTAGCCACATTTCAAATGTTACACAAAGCAAATGTATACTGTTACTGAAGATAAAGTTTTTTGTTTAGTTTGTTGAAGAAGTTTATCTGGATTCATTTATTCATAAGCTAACAAAAATATTCTGAGGATATTTATAACAAAAAACTATATTCTTCAGTTTTCTTTTGATAAATTGCTTAGATAGTAAAAAATAAATTTGAGAAACAAATATATTTTTAGGAATAATGAAGTTAAATATGATATATAAACATTTTCACATGGACTTACAGAACGTCTCATTAATTTATAATTCTATTATATCCCTTGTTTTATGGAAAAATATTTGGTAGCTACAAGGAAAATGATCCTCAAACATTTTAATCATACCTGTTTCTGAGCTTCTACTTTTTGCTTTCTGGTTGGATCAATTGCATCTACCATCCATTTGATTGTAAAGTACGTTACTGCACCAAATATTGTCAAACGGAAAATTAAACCAACAACTTCATTCCGACTCAGGGGACGAGAAAAGGCTTCAGCATGTACCATCTTGACTGTTAACCTTAAAAAACAAACAGAAATATCACTAGGTAATAACTAATTAAAATTGGGAGACTGATAACTAAACTGATAGCTTAAACTAAGAAAAACTGACTTCTAGTCAAATCCATCATTACCCACCTTTAAAAGTGTTTTAAGGAGATGCAGATTTTTATGTTAAAAACAAACACATTTTAAGCTCCCCTTGGAAACTGAAGGAACACATTAGAAACTGAGGTTTCATTAGAATTTTTAATGAACTTTCATAAATGCTCATATATACTTAAGTACAGAATAATTCTATTTGAAAAATACTGTAGCCATCTTCAGGTATTCACTCTTTTAAACAGCTTTAAGTATTTCAGAGATTCCAGACAAATAACGACCATAACACTAATCCAACTAACGAAAGGCAGCCCAACAATGAAATACTTCACTAATGTTGATAGTAAGAATTTCTTCTGTTAAGTGTAAGGTATACCAGGTAATTTTTTTAAGTGAAATTGAAACTATGAACTGACTTGCTTTTTCCTCGTATTAACTTTTAAAGATTTTTCAAGTACTGCTTAAATTTAAACATTCCATTTTCTCTAAGTGACATTAAATTTTTTGAGCCATCCTGTTGTTTCCAACAACTCAGCTAAGTATGAAGCAACAGAATTCTTCAAGATTTTGAACCACAAGAATACCAATCACCCAACATAAAGAGGGAAAAAGGGAGGCAATGTGCCTTTTACTTATATTTCTGAGCAGCTCAATCACAGGTAGTCTTACAGAAGACATGCATGCATGCCCTTGTCAAAGGCAATGACTACCCCATAGAATAAGTTTGTTAGGAATGACATGACTATCACATTTTGGGAGATAGGATCTCAGCTTCAAATAATGCCATTATACTCTTATAGCACAGGATTGTGTTGAGTGCTATGCAACATGAAAAAAATCACAGAATATATATTTCGCAACTCATGTAAACAGGAATAAATTAGAATTTATACAGATGGCTCAGCAACAGATGAAAATGATAAAACGTGCAGATTAATATCTATGGTCTTTCCAGCTCTAAAACGATTGCTTTTCTTCTCATTATTCCTACTGAACTAAACATCCTTTTCAGTTCCCTCCCTCTGGAATAGATTCAATAATTTAATTCCTCTTAGATACCCCTCCCCAATAAAAAGACCACAAACCTTTCCTTTAGAGGATTTCCAAGCATTCACAACTATCCTAATCTAACCAAAAGAGTAACTTGAAGCTTTCACTTCTCAATACTTTTCATCAGAACTCTCAAAAGCTGGAGTCACTGGCATCTGAAAATGCCATGTGTACTTACCCTCCAACATATGACTATTACCCTAGATGAGCCATTTCTCCCCTTTCATCTATGATAATTCCACCCAAACGTCAAAAACCAAGTTCACCTGCTCCATGACGGTTTTCAGATAACATTAATCTTCTATACTATTCATCCAGCTATTACTGAACTTATGTGATATCTCATCTACTCAACTGTAGTTTAAATCCTTATAAACAGGATTTAGATCTTATACGGCTTTGTAACTGTCACATACAAAGGAGGCTAATTCAGTAAGTAACTGTTCAACAGATAGATTCTAACTGCAGAAAACTCTGCCATTTAATCACTCTAACAGAATTGCTGTCAGACTTTGAACAATTTCCAAAAGAAAAGTCAAAGGACCCCCTCTCCATTACTAGGAGCCATTTACTTCGCAACAGCAGTACGTTCTTTAATTTAAAACAATTATATAATGGAAACCTTTCATTTCAGATAAAGAAACTCTGGCCTTGGGATATTAAAGTGATTTAATTCATACCATAAAGCATTTACTGAACATATAAATATAATGCCTGCTATACACTGGGTTTACAACAGTGGCTAAGATATAATTACTCAAGGACACACAATCTGGCTCTTTTCTTAATTATATTTACAAAAATGAAGCCAGGAAGAAGCCACCTAATTAACATCTCTCCTGATACAACAGATTAAAGTGTGCTCT